TTTAGCCTGCACATGATTTAGAATGGGGTTATCATACAGCACGTGTTAATTGTTTAGCATGGTCACCAGATTCATTATTATTAGCATCGGGTAGTCTTGATACTGGTATTATTATATGGGATTGTTCGAATCCAACCAAACATTTTACGCTTAAAAGTATGTTATTTTTTTCTTTCTTGAAAATTTCCTTTTTTCTAAATTTTTTTTTTCTTATTTAATACAGAAGCACATCCACAAAGTCAAGTAACACAAATTGTATGGCTTAATCAATCGACTATTATTTCGACTGGTCATGATGGTACCATAAAAACCTGGGAAATTAAATTACCATAAACAAAAAACTGATGACCATCAACCAAAGGAAAAAAATGTTGACTAAATCTAATTAATCGAACAACAACAAACGAAGATCTCGAAATTACTACCACCACCAACAACCATGTGTGTGTTTCATTATTCTGTTTTTTTTTGTTGAAAATATTGCCCCGGATACATAAGGATTAATTGTGTGAATGGAATCTATCATCATCTTATTTTGTCTTAAATGGATTCGACACATACACACACACACGGAAAACATCCAGCAAAAAGCACCCACACTCAATGAATTATTATTATTATTATCAAACTAAAATAAGATTATATATTTTTTCATTATTAATAAATGGTTGATGAGTGAAGAATATCGCATTGGGTTATTATTCTTTGAGTTAACATCTCTAGATTCTCTCTAGAATTTTATAGAATTCTATAGAATCCATTATTGTTATTATTATTTTATTTTTTTTTCATCATGAATCTTGGTTTGTTTTGTTTTGTTTTGGTTTTGGTTTTGTTTTTGTTTTTGATGATGGATGAATTCTTTGGGATCATAACTTTTGTTTCTGTATAACTGGGTTTTGGATGCTTTTTTTCTTCTTTCTTGGATATTATATTATTATAATATATCCTGGGTTTTGAATCGAAATTAAAGAAGAAAACCCATTAAACGTATACGTATTTGATTGATATATCCGGCCAAAAAACAAAATCAAATTTTACTGAACAACGAAAAGAATCCTAATGATCTATTTTGATCATCGATCGGCCGGTCCACTATGGTGTAAATAGGATTTTTATCATCATCATCATCAATTTGATTTGATTTCGTTGTTTTTCGTTTTTCCTTTGTTCCTGTTCATTTTGTTTTTCCTACGTGATAATGAATGAAAAAATACTAATGTTTTGTTTCTTTTGTTGTTGTTCAACTTGTTATTATTTTCATTATTGTTGTTATCGATGTCCGAAAAGTAAAAAAGAAAATCCGGTAAGAATGTAAAATGATTTTTCCCTCCTTTTTTTCCCACTATTTCGACTGGGATTTTGATTAAATTCTTCGGCTCGATTCTTTTGTTGTTGTTGGTGAACATGGCAACCGAATTATATTGATTATTTGAGTGAGTGAGATGTTTTTTCGAAACTAAATATGCTAATTTCAAATCGATTTTCAACAAAAGAAGAATCGATTATCCGTGAGTAGTATCGATGATGTGATTCGATTCAATTCGATTCTTTTTACAAATTGAATTTGATTTATTTCCTCTCTGTTGTTGTTGTTGTTGTTTCTGGTATTGAAACTTTTTTCTATGTTTCAAATGTTTAAATACCTTTTGCACAAGAATAATCTCTTGTTAGGTGTTAATTTCGCTTTTTTTTGTTGCATTTTCAGTGTGTGATTATTATTCCATGTGAATACAGAATCAAGGAATTTTCTGTTTTCAACAAAAAAAAAGTTTCAGTTCCGAGTGTCGAAATTCTGCAATTAAATTTGAATTTGAATCAAAAAAAAAACTAACTAACTGAATGAGGAAGAAGAAGTTCTTGTTGAAACAAAAAAGTTTAAAAAAGCTTAAAACAAATGAAATGAAAAGAGAGAGTTTTTCGGGTATTGTCATATGATTTTGTCATCCATTTGCCCGAAATGAAAACTTTATTTTTGTTACACTTTTTGCACAAAAAATCATTATTATTTTTTGTGTCGAATGTTTGTGATCCAGCGAAATGGATAGCTGATGCTGTTATCGTTTGTCGTTGAGAATATTCATCACAACCAAGATGTGCAGTGGTGAAGGCATCAGCAGTTGGGATTATGTAAAATCCAATAGAATTTTTTTTTCTTCAAAATTTTAGTTTTCAAGTTTTCAATTCTGAAATAACCAAAAAAAATTTACATTTTTGGGCGAAAATGTCATTCGATTTGTCAGCGTTTCTCTTGTTTTTTCTTTTTGGACCAGACGAAAAACCAAAAAAAAAAAAAAAGAAAATCTTTCTTTTTCCCTCAGTCCAAATCAAATTCAAATATCCGGGTTTTCTTTTCACTTTTTTTTTGGTGATGTTCATTGCTTATTGTTTCTTCCAATAGACAGAAATAATTTATGATCATCATCATCATCTATATTGTTTTTTTTTTCTATATTTATCCTTTTCCTAAAACGATAATAAAAAAAATGAAAATGAAATGATATTTGAATAGAGAAAAAGGAGAATCTATTTTTTTTTCTCGAAATGATTTTTCTGTATTCTTTTTTCTTCGCTTTGCGATTCTGGTGATGAGAGAATGGCGAACCAGAATAGCACAGAGACAAAAAAAAAACAAAACAAACATCATCATCATCATTAAATTAATTATTTTGGCTATCATCATTATTATGGTGTGTTCGATATACAATGTGTGTGTGTTCATTGAATAAGAATTATTACTTGGTTCTGCCTTTTCTTGTTTTGTTTCTACAGATATTCGGTTGATTGGTATGATGATGATTGTATGATTAAATTCAAACGAAAATTGCTGACATTCTTTTTTCTTTTCTTCTTTTCCGAAATTCATTGTTATCAAGATAAAGATGTATTCATAAACATTGTCAATTTTTTTTTGGATTCAAAACAGAGATTCCAATGTCTTTTTTTTGGCAAAAGTTGTTTAAGGGTTATTATTTTGGGAATAATGATGATGATGACACAAAAATACGAATATCTATTTTGCTATTGAAAAGAAAGAAAAAGTTTTTTTTTCTGTAGAAATTCCCATCTTCATAATGATGATGATGTTTTTTTTTGATTTTCAAAATTCCAAAGATTCAAATGTCTATTATCATCATGATCTTTGGAAACTTTTTTTCTCCAAAGATGATGATGATGCCTTTTGGCTAAAAAATTCGCATCAATGTTTTTTGAAGTTTTTTTTTGTTAGTTTTTCCAAGAGAAAAAGAATCCATTTGAGCTAATCGTTATTTGATCTGTTGTTTTTCCAATCGATTTTTCTTTAGACTGCACGCGATAAAAAATCTAAAAAATATCAAATTTCCATGCATGATCGATTCATATTTCCCATATATAAGAATCAAGAGAAATCAAAAAGCAAAATCAAAATAGATTTGATGGGGTTCATTCTGCTTTCTTTTCCCCTGTTTGTTTTTTCCCCTGCTTGTTTTCCCCTTGTTTTCTTTTTCCCCTGCTTTTCCCCATTCTGTAATTAAATTGTAATCATCATCATTCGAATATTGGTTATTGAAAATAATAATGATCATCATTATTTGGTTTGTCCAAAAAATCATTTCACCTTTCTTGTTTTCTTTCTTTCTTCATTTTCCAAAAATGATTCATACATTGATGATTCATTTTCAACCAAAAGATTCTGATTGAAATTCCTTTCCTTTCAACACACACAATTATTTTCCAATTTCATCATCATCATCATCATCATAATTTGAATTTCAACAAGCATAACATTATTATTATTATTATCAAAGTAAATAAATTTATAGACGTCTTGTGTGTGTGTCGTGTGTATGTGTTTTTTATTTCGTTTTGCTTTGTTTTGAGAAATTCAACATCTGTATTCTTGCTTTGCATCATCATCATCATCATCATAGAATCAAAGAATTCCATATATTGAAAAAAAAACAAAGTTCTTGAAACAGCTTGGAAAAACTGGTATGAATGAATGAATGAAGATGTGAATTGGGAGGAAAGAAAACAACATTCACAAGTTGTCGGTCGTTGAAATGATGATAATAATAATAATGATATTATGAAAAACAAATATTTCACAAATCACATACATACATCAAACACACACATCACCATCCAACACACACACTTATCATGAAGAAAATGAAAAAAAAACATAACGGAAACTTTGATGGTGTTTTCTTCCTCTCTCTCTCTCTCTCTCTCTCTCTCTCTCTATTTAAGACTATAGTGAAAAAAAACTATGAAAAAAATGAAAATTTCATATTGAATAACAACAACAACAACGAAAGACAAACATGAACTAGTTTTTTTTGATAAAATAAATATTATGAATGTGAATGAATTCGTTTGCATAACATTTACTTTTTCTTCTCTCTCTCTCATCAACCCGAAGCCCATACCCGACAAACAGATTTTTTTTAAACAAAAAAAAA